TGAAGCAACGTCCTCCACAACTAGACTGAAGAACAAAACAACAGCAACTTGTCTGTTCCCCTTTCCCCAATTCCCCAGCACTGTTCCCATCCCCCCAATACCCCAATAAAAAAAATCTTAAAAAAAAAAAAAGAGTTGTCTCAGCTTCTGAGAGCTGCCTCTCACCCCTATCCAGTGTGGCCCATGTTCAGTGATGGATCAAACCCATGGGATGAAGACCTGGCCATCTCAGCCCAAATCAGGACAACTCTGGAAAGCATTCTAGCTCCAGACGCCCCTGTGGGCTGGCCCAGGCTGGCCCTGAGCCTGGCCTGCAGCCCCACTCCTCCCTCTGCCCACGCCTGCTTTGGTCCCCCGCCTTCCACCGGTATTGATTTCGAGGACACTCCTTTACCAGCATCCCGCACACCAAACTCCACTTCAGGGTCTGCTCCCAAGGGAACCCAGCCTGCAGAGACATCACACCAGTTCTCTGATCGGTGCCAGGCATGTTGCACTCGCAGGGCTGCCTTCAGATTGTGGCCAAAGATTTTGTTCAATTTACAAAGCTTTCTCTGAGTCAAAGCTGCCTGAAATGAAACAGGTATCCTGTGAAGGGGAGGAGACCTTCCAAGAGGAGATGTTCAAAGAAAAAAATACTATTAGAAAGATGCGGGCTATAAGCATGGGTGAAGTCAAGAATCCTAAGGGTGGATGGACTGGGTGTCCTCCAGGGGCCCTTCCTACATCAATATCTATAATGGTTTGCTAGAGCTGCCGTAACAAAATACCACACACCAGGTGGCTTAGACAATAGACTTTTTTTTTCTCACAGTTTTGGAGGCTAGAAGTCTAAGTTCCAGGTGTCACAGGTTTGGTTTCTTATAAGGCCTCTCTTGCAGATGGCCACATTCTCCCGGTCTTTAGATAGTCATCCCTCTGTGTCTGTGTCCTAATCTACTCTTCTCACAAGGACCCCAGTCATAATGGATGAAGGCCCACCCCCATGACCTCATTTTCCCTTAATTACCCCCTTTAAAGGCCCTCTTTCCAAATATAGTCACATTCTCAGGAAGGCGAGGGTGGTTAGGACTTCAGCATATAAATTTTAAGGGAGCTACAACTGAGCCCATAACACTACCCCAAGGCTTTTGTGTATCCCAGATATACAACACCTGTTAGCACACATCAAACTCAGTATAAGGATAAAAGATTAAATTCAGTGTTTAACGACAAAAGACTGGGCTGGCCAAAGTTATCTTTGAAGGAGCATTTATACAGTTACAGAATGTTAACTGCTAAATAAGTGGTCAGTTAGTAGCCTTTTAAAATAAATAACGTCTTCATAAGTCTAGTAGCTGTGACTATCAAATATGCTCTACTTAATTCAGGTAATCGTAACACTGGCCAGGATAGCCAGAGCACACACACACACACACACACACATTTATTATACCAATTAATATACCAATGTGTGTTCACCAACACAGACACCATAACCATGAAGGGACAGGGGGAGTTTCTAGAGATAATAGCATAACTGGATTTTCTGGGGATAGCGTCTGAGTACTGAAAGCAAAAGGCTGCTATGATGGCCTTTTATACCTCTTATATACACTCAATTTTCATGTATTCATCCATTCAAACAACATTAATTGGGTTCCAAATACATGGAAAGCATTGTGATCACTGATCTGGGAAAAACAACCTTGTAAAACATCAAAATCCCACCCTCACAGAAGGAACATTACAGTAAGACTAATAAGCTGCTATGGTAATGACACCACAAAGCATGGGCTTTGTCATCACAAAGATTGGGCTCAAGCCCAAGTGCATCCTGTGCCAGCTGTGTGATCTGGGGCAAGTCGCTCAACCTCTCTAAGCATCTGTCCCTCATTCATGCAATGGGGATATTAATAACACCTGCCTTATCGGTTCCCATCCCCAAGTGATGGGTTGGGGAAGCTTTTGCTCCTGTCTTCCAAAACTTCCATCAGCATCCCCCAAATTTGGGGTCCCTAGAGGGTCCTCCTCCAGGGCCATCTGTGGCTGAGATACATGTAATGAGCCTCCCTAACCACTAGAGTGTGGGCTTAACTTGAAACAGATATGACTAATGAGAAGCATGACCTATTTCTTTTACAAACAAGGACACTCCGCAGCTGGTATAATTGTGCCAGGACAGATGTAAACAGGGTTGTCCCAGGAAAACTGGGATATATGATCACCCTCCTAATGATTCCAAGACCTGGAAGAGAAGAACATGGATGTTTTGAGAGAGGTAGAAACCTTGTAAGTCTGTGATTAGGACAGTCCATTTGCCCAAGAGTGACCTCTGGGGGCCTTGCGAATAGCTCACAATTGCCTGTAAATATTGAATATGTGGAATAGCTTTTCTCAGAGAAATTCACAGTTCTTCATGTTTACCATCTTATCTCCTCATGCCGTCCCTAGCCAGGAATCAGGGGCTTTGCAGTTAGGGGGTTTGTAGGGTGTCAGAGTGTGCAGGTATAAACCCTGGAGCTCTTTTGGGGAATGGTACAACCCAGCAAAAGGTGTCCCCGTGAAAAAAAAGAAGTCCATGGAAACATACTTGTAAGTATGGTGTGTGCCCAGGAGGGTTGGGCCATTGTGAGTGGGTTAGGAGCTCGGCCTGCTGAGTTCTCTGAGTGCAGTGACTAGTTCCGCACGTATGTGAGCTCCAGGCTCCTCACTGCATGTACTCAATGGACAGACCCAGGAATGAAATGAACCCTTAGAGGTTCAAAGGGCCACTGCTTATCTGAGTGCCTGATGCAGGCTCTGGCAACACTTCTCACCAGCCGGGATCTGGGCTCAGTGTGCGCAGCCTGGCTTCACCCCATGGGAGAAGACACCTTATAAGCTCAAAGTGACCCACCAAGGACTAAGTGATGGAGAGAGTATCTCCGACCTACTGTAAGAAATAGAATAGTGACTGAGGAATCCAGCTTTTATTAAAACTTTTTTTAAAAGTCACCTTTAAACAACTGTGAAGAAAAACGTAAGCAAAGATAGCTCCTTACCTTACCACAGAAATGTTTTACATATCTGGAGCCTCATTTAGCATATTTTTAAATATTGTGATATAATTCACGTATCATAAAATTCACCATTTTCAAGTGTACTGTTCAGTGTTTTTAGTATATTTACTTAGCCTTGTGTTTTAAATTCTCCCCCATAGTTTTTATCATGGCATGTAAACATTTTTCTGCTCTATTTTCTTCATTTTGCCTAATCTCATCCTCATGTTTCTATTTCTGTATAGTTATCACATTTATTATTTTAAATCAGGGAGGTAATAATCTATTATGTCAATACCCCTTTGCTTATATAAGCATTCACTATTCATTGGGCATTTGGACTTTCTACTTTTAAAATTATAATTATTAATCATTAATTTGTAATACTTATAATAACAATTATTAAGGTAACAACAATAATTATAATACGAATTAAATTATTACTGTTATTAAATTAAATGATGAACTATTAAATTATTGAACAATTTACATAAATCATTTATAATCTAATATAAATTATTAAATTAAATTATCAATTATAAATATGATATATTTTATATTACTATTAATTACAATAATTAATACTACCATAAACATTTATTTCAAATCATTTCATTAGGAATATATCGTATTCACAGGTATTTGGTTACTGAATAAAGGGATGTGATTATTTTAAGTTTCTTTTATTATTTTCCTCCAGAAAGACTGAACCCCTGTAATAAACTGAAGACGCCAACAATGTTTGCATATGTCTATATTCAATTCCTGCGTTTCATCATTTTATTTTTTTTCACCAGTTGGTGTAAAATGGTACAATGAAATAATTTTACATTTCATTCCTTTAATTACTAGGGGGGAAGAAAGCTTTCCTACACAATAATTTTAAGTATCTAAGAATTGGCTTCATGTGGTAAAACTTCCCTCATTGTATCACGCTACTGCTCAAAGATAACTTCCAGAGCCTTAATTCTATTTGATTCAAATCTAAACATAGCACCTAGTCGATGTTAAGTGTCACATCCAGCGTGGCTAGTCCAACCGGCCTGAGTGGAGCTGACGGAGGATGAAGAAAGACAAAGAAATACTTGAAAGCGAGGGCTAGGTGGACCACTGTCTCCTGCTGGGAGGACAGTGACCCGGTCTAGCAGCCGTGGTTTATTGGTATAGTCTTGTTTATCGAGGGGAGGAGATTAGCCTTGAGCAGAGAACGTTCTGAGCGTCAGCTGCAGGATGATTGCAACCAAAGTACCGAAACCACCTCCGCTTGTTGCAGCGCTGAGCCAGCCTTGCTGAAGCCCACTAGGAGAGCGTGACCTTGCACCAACCTCTCCCTCACAGCTCCTGGAGGGGCCCTAGGTCCCCCCTGGCAGTTAAGTGGCGATTGGTTGCTTTATGGCTTCTAGATCTAAATCCAGGTAAATATTTCCCCAAAAGAGAGTCATAATCTTAGCTATTGTGTGCCACAAATAGATTTGTTTACCCTTCTGTACTAGGCATGAAAATGGGTCTGGGCCTTTAGATATTTTTTCCTGTGGAGCTGGCACTGCAGTTTTGTCCATAGATGGTATCAGAGGCACATTGTAGGAGGACAAGAGGTTTTTGCTTCCGGCCCAGGTGTGCTGGCTCGGAGGTTCCTGCAGCCTGTGGGTATCCTGTTGTGAAGCCTCCTCCAGCGCTCACAGCTTCTCCAGAGCCTGGCTCCTGCCATGCACAGCAGCCAGCAGCACCCAGCAGGCAGCACCTCCCCTGCCCTGTCCCAGGTATGTCACATAAAACCCGATGTAGCTTTATAGCAGAGTGCCTCTACTAATCAAGACAGCTTTCTTCCACACCTCAGAGGGCAGATTTCCAGAAGATCTCACTGCGTGGGACCACAATAACTTCCCTATTCAGTGAGTCACCGCTGCACAAGTCTGGATCTCAGCCCAGTGGGGCTGGGGGCTCTTCCTGGGGTGCCCTCTCTCTTCCTATGGGGTGTGGCTGGTATTTACATCTGCTGTTTTCATATCCATTAGAGTTCTCTTTATTTCTCACTAGCCAATCCCTCATTACTGTAATCCCCTGTGATAGTTAAATAACTCTTTATATTACACTTTCCCTGTTCAGGTTACTTTGTGGTCTCTCTTTCCTGATTGGACCCAGAGGGATACAAGTATGCTTCTCTAGAAGGAACAGCATATGTAGCTCCCACCTGTATCCCATACCTTAAACAGGGTTAATGGGTCTTTACGAGTATAACACCTGGCTGCCTGGGAGCAAATATTGATGAAATTGTTGCTGAGCCATGAGCAGGGAGTAGCCCTTTGCCACTCCACGTGCATAGTTTTATAGGTCTGCTCCTTCTTCTCATCTTAGGACACCAGTGGTTACACACACACACACACACACACACACACACACACACACACGTTTCCCTCATGGCAATTGGTCCAGGAGCAGGTGAACCCCAGCTGAGCCAGTCAAAGCCACCTGGGATTTTTCACCCAGAAGCAATATCTCCCTCTTGAACTGAAGTAGAAAGAATGAAAGGATGTGACTTCAGAACTGCTAGCAGTCACATCTCTAGCCAAGAAGGAGCCTTAGAGTGTGAGGCCTGTCCGCAGATGGTCACCAAGATGAGAGGTGACAAAACAGAGAGACTCCAAATGCCGTCTTTAACTCTGGATATTTTCAGGATGGCTTTAATCATTTCCCCCTCCATAAACTAATGAATCCCCCACTTTTTTTCATACCCGACTTCATTGACTTAGGTTTCTGTCTCTGACAACAGAAAAGAGCCCAAATGTAACATTTTGTAGACCAGAACCAATTCTTGATGCATTCTTAGATTCTTTGTAGCCGGAGCAGAGAAAGAAACATTTCCAAACTAGGCAAAGGCAAAACTTTGAGGCCTGTTCATCCAAGTTCAAGATAGTTGCTATTTTTAAAAAGCTCACATCAGAGCAACTTCAGGTTCTGCTCTCAAAGCTGGCCGTGCTCAAGTGGGACACCGCTGCTGGTTTCCATGACTACCCTCAGCCACTATGACAATACCAAAACAAAAGCCAGAGGACTTGGTGATTTACTTTTATTTTGTGGCCAAATGATCGCCAGTTTTCAAATGAGATGCTTGGTCCACTTAATTCCTGTTGCTCCGATATCTTCAGTTTTCCCTAATAATGTGGATGGATTAACAAGTGGCAAAGTGTGAGTTTGCGTTTGCCCTCCCAGATGCATTCCTTCTGACTGCTGAGATTACTTGGTGACTTTAGTTCCAGGGACACAAGTTGGGCTATCATGGTTCCGTGGGATAGTCACTCAAAATAGCTCTGCGTATTTGTTTTGTAAATAAACTAGCTCCATGGCAGGCTCACATACTCTTTTTCCAAAGAAGAGACCAGCATTGTGGGTCACAGGCTGTGGGTTTTAGGGTTGGGACAGAGGACCCAGAGGCATCTGTCTCTCAGGAAAACCACATTTAGCTCCCAAATCCTCGAGTGACCCTTCTGCCTTGTCCTTGCTTTTCTATCTGCTCCCCTGGGAAGGAGACCACCTGGGAACATTGTACCTAATAACGCCGTCATTGCATGAGGTACTGCACGCTTAGGTGAGGTACTGCAGTGTCCCCCTTCTCACATCTTGCCTGAAATGAGCCTTCTTCCAGATGCTCAGCTGGAAAACCCCCAAGTACCTGAGGTTTTTGTACAGCACATGAGAACCATGACTGAGGGCAGGAATAATGTTTTTACCCACCCTATTCACCACACAACCTGTTTCGTCCTGGACTCAATGTGTACACTTTTTGATTGAAGGAAAAGTGCCAACCTTTACTGAGTATCTATCATGTGCCAGGCACTCTGGGAGGTGCTTGCATGCATGTCAAATGACTTGGGAGGCAGGATGGCCGAGTAGCCATGGGCAAGAGCTCCAGACCTGGACATAAACCCCAGTTTTCCCACTTTTTTGCTGTGTGACTTCCCTGAGCCTCAGCTTCCTTACCTGTAGAATGGAAATAATAACAAATCACCTCCGAAAGTTGTTATGAGGAATAAATAAGGTAATCCACATAAAGCCCATTGTCCTGGTACTCAGGAGACATTCAGTGAAGGTTAGCTATTGTTGTTATTGTTACTGGTAGTAATTAGTCGCTACAGAATTACTCTGTGATCCCGGGAGCATCTTCAATGATAGAACGTTGTTATAGAGAAAGTTTAAGTCCTGAAAAGAAAAGTTCCAGAATTTATAAGCCTGAACATCGTAGCTCCTCAGATATTGGCTGCATTGATGAGCGTGCCAGCGTTTGAGTGTCCCTGCTTGGTAACTGGCCCGGAGACGTGCTTATTCTATGCTTGCTGTGTGCTGGGCACAGACGGTGCCAGGCAACATGATCCACGAGCTTATGAAGTTGTTGTGGAGACAAGGCCAACAAATACAACACTTGTGAGCAGTACAAGACAGGATGTATTGTTAAACTGTATTTCTGGCAGAAGTGCCACAAAAGTGCATTAAGAGGGGGAAAGTAACAGTAATTGAGCATCCACTCTGTCTAGGCCCAGGGATGAAAATATCGCCTTACGGTCTCATGAATCCAGTGAGGTAGATCTTATAGCTCCATATTTGAGATGAAGAAACTCTGACTCAGTGAGACTCGCCAACTTCCAAGGACACACAATGAGTAAGGGACAGAGTGAGAACTTGAACCCAGGCCTCCTGGCTCCTCAATGCTGCAGAATACCTCCTCCCAAATAACAGCAGATATCCTCCACCCCATCTTCTAGAAGGGGAAACCGGAAGTCAGAGAAGGTAAGTGACTTGTCCAAGGTCACTGGAATGGCAGCTGGCTGAGCTTGGATGTGAATAGGAGTCTGTCCATCTCCTGACCACAGGTATTCCATTTGCACCTTACAGCCTGTCCTGGGCACCTTCCGCCTACCCCAGGAGGATCTGCACCTGGGACACATCTGAAGAACTGAGCATCTTGGCTGTTGTTGCCCTCAGGTGAAGGATGTGGGGTCTCCACAGAGGCACCTGCTGGGCCTCTGAGGAGAGTCAGGCCCCCATTTTACAGATGAGGAAAAGTGAGGCCCAGAGCGGCTCATTCCAGGTCACTGTCCTCATTGTCAGTCCCGCCCTTTTGCCTTGGTTCGACTGCCCCCCCCCACCCACAAGCACCCCTATATTCCCTCCTGCCTATAAAACCTACTCATTCCTCAAGATATTCCCAGCCTTCCAGCTCCACTGGTGGGCCTGATGGGTTACTGAGGAAGCGTTTGTAAGTGGCCGGGTGATATGGTTAATTATTAGCAGTTTCCATTTCTTGGCTCCTGGTAGCCCTCGGCAAATGTTTGTTTAGAAGAGATGGGCAGATCAATGAATAAACTGGAGCGCTAACAGCCAGTCAAGTGAGGAAGTGCTGGGAACTTAGATGAGGTGGGTAGCCCCTCAGAAGCGCCACCTGATAGGTTCCAAAGGAACTTCATCAGGCTGGGCTCAGGGGTGCTAGTCCTGGAGTGACAGGGGAGGGTGGGGAAGAGGGAGAGAGCCCACAGAGGGAGCAGCAGAGCCAGAGGCTTGCAAACCTCTCTTCCGGTCCTAGCATCTGGTCTATTTTTCCCATCTACTTTATAGAGGTGCCCTGCCTCACAGCAGACGAGTGAATAAAAAGGATTTCCCCCTGTCCACTGGCGATGTGGAAAATCCCGTGACAAATCCCATGGAAACCATATAACCAGGAAATCTTACTGCTGTTAGAGAAACGGATGAGATCCTCTGGACACGGTTTCATTAGCTGATCATAGGAGACTGAGACAGAACCCCCACATTTGCCGTCTGAGGTGAATAAAGGTGGATCCAGACACATACACAGTGATGGTCCCGAGACCCGTGAAGCGGCCCGCCTCACCTGCTCCAATTCATTCAGGAATTAGAGGAGGCGGCGGCCAGGGCGAGGACTGGAGGACTCAAGCACAGGTAGAATGTGACCCTGGAATAGGAGCTGAGGACACGGCTGAGCAGAAATAAGCCACCTTCTACCTGAAACACCGAGGAGCATAGAAGTTACATGGGGAAGTCTGTTTCTGACCCAGCCCGAGTAATTCTCTCTATTGGAGTCTTCCATTTGGTCACTGCATTCTTCAACTCTAGGATTTCGGGGGGGGGGGGTGTTTTGTTTTATTTTTTTCAATGGTTTCTATTTCTTTGTTGAACATCTCATTTTGTTCATATATTGTTTTCCTAATTTTGTGTAGTTGTCTGTGTGTTCTTGTAGCCCGCTGACCTTCTTTAAGAGAATTATGTTGATCTCTTTGTCAGACAGTTCATAGGTCTCCATTTGTCTAGCGTCAGTTATTGGAGCTTTGTTAATTCCTTTGGTTGCTGTCATGTTTACCTGATGCTTCATGATCCTTGCACCTTTGCATTGGTATCTATGCATTTGAGTACATAATCTCCTCTTCCAGATTATACAGGTTAACTTCAGCATGGGAAGACCTTCGCCAGTCAGCTCAGCTTGGTGTACTGGATGGGTCAGCTGGTAGCATCCACGGGGCTTTCTAGAGGGAGGGGTCCCTAATTGGGCAAGGGCCACTGCCTGAGCTCTGAGCTGGGGGTGCTGCTGACTGGGCTCCGTGTTCAGGTGGGGCTGCTAGGTAGGCTCCCTGACTGGGTGGGACTGTTGGTTGGGTTCTGGGGTCATGTGGAGCCACTACCTGGGCTCTGCAATCACCTCTGGTTGGGCAGCGACATCACAGGCATGGCAGTGGCTCTGGTTGGACTCCACCATAGGGTAGGGCTGTGGGCCTCGCTCTGCGATCGCTCCTGGATAGGTAGGTAGAGTCTCAGACTGTGCTGCCTGACTGGGTGATGCTGCTGGCTGCACTGTGTGCAGGTCAGATGGGGCCACAGAAACCCGGCAGCCACAGAGTACAACCTGTGGCTGGCTGCCCACGCAGGATGCCAAGCCAGCAGCCCTGACCAGCTGTCGAGCATAGCCTTTGGTCCCACCTGACCAGGGAGCCCAGACTGACCGCTGAGTACAGTCTCCAGATCTCCGCTTGGATCCTTTGGCAAACAGACACTGCAAGCCCTGCATCCCTTCTCTGTCCCTATCTGATCCCCAGTGGTTGAGCTCCATGGGTTCTCCCAGTGAGCCCCACAAGGTGTGACCTGAATTAAAGGAAGTGTCCCACAATACTGGGAGGCCCATATGTCCACCTTGGTCTCTCTTTTTCCCACCATTCGCCCACAGGGGCCCTCTCAGTGCCGCGCTGTGCTGGCCTGGGGGAGGGGCGATGTGGTCAGTGTAGCTGTTCCTCTTCCTCTTCTCATGTGGTCCTTCTCGGTCTCTGTAGTCCAGGGGGCGCCTCAGCCTCACCCCCGTGTTCTGGGATTTTCACAATGGCACCTTGGAAGATGGGATGGTTGCTAGCGGTTCTTGTGAGGGGGACTCCTGAAGTGGTGAACAAACCACACCCTCTGTCTTGCTGACATCGCTCCTCCTCGTGCTCACTCTCATCCTTCCTTAGCTTCTATATATAAATCGGTGTTTTCAGTCTAATGTGGATGGCTTGGGTCTCAAGATAACCAGCAAATGTGTTTGACGGTGACTCACCTGCATCTTGTCAATCGCATCAGTTTCTCTGCCTCGATTCTGAGGCATGTGGCTGGACAGAGAGAGAATTTGCAGGGCACAGGGCTGGTGGAATCATGTCAGCCAAGGACAACGGCAATTACTACTCGTTATTCAGCCCGTGTGCTCCTGGCAAGACACCCAGACCTCATCCTTACCCACTCATGACTAAGGACACACTCAAGGGCTAGGTGATGGTACAAATCTCTCTCAACTGTCCCCTTTATATAACCTCCCACCCTGTGCTCGGGCCTCCATGGTGGGCACCTTGAAGCCCCGCCACTTCCTTTCCTACTCTCTCCTCGCTACCCTTCCAGCTCACCACCCACCAGCCTCCTGCATTCCAGATGCTTCCCTGCTTGCGCTGACCCTCAGTACTATAGACAGGACCACCAAAAAGACAAACAAACCTCTTTTGTGTTAGCATGGATTGCTAGGTATTAGTAAGTGTTTTTATGAGGTTTTACAATGCTAGGAGACCCCGTTCCCACTGAGGTGAGGACAGGGCAGGCCTCTTGCACTCCTCCTGCCGTATCCACCCATAAAATGATGTGTAGACAAACAAGAGGCAAGCAGCTGTAACAAAAAATGGCGACTGTGGCTTGCAGTGTTTTTATTATTGTATTTCTACGTCCCATAAATGTCCTTTACCTGGTAGCACACTTAAAGACAAGGGACAGGCGAGGGAGACTTTTATATTCGATAAATGTTTCTGCTGGTCTAAGAATGCTTATTTTTATGTTTATGAGAATGCTCTCAGGAAGAGAGTGACACACACATTGGGTCTGTCTCCTGAGGGGCTCCCATAGGATTTAAACACGGCTTAGGCTACGGCTGTGGTGTGCTGAGACACTATTTATAGCCAGAACAGTGGGAAGTGTTATTATGAGAAAGCCCAGGGTGCTTTCATCCAGGGAGCACACCTGCCAATCAAAACATGAATGGTGTAGAGGCTTGACCACTGCACTGTACATACGAAGCTGCTGTTGAACAATATTGTATGTCAGCTAAGATTTGATATATGTGTGGTTACGGGATGTGGAGTACAGTGCGGGGAGTGGAGTTGATGAAATTGTGATAGATATGTGTGATATTGGGGGGAGGGGGCAGTTGACTGGGGGAGGGGGGTGGTCACTTTGTGAGGGGTGAAAAGTGTAACTATTGCATTGTTTTGTACACCTAAAAGTAATAAAAAATAAAAAATAAAAATGCAGGCTTTGGGCAGGAGGAATCAAAGAGCACCATCTAGCGGCCCCCACAAGATTTGTTTTTGAGGAAACTGCTCAGTCATGAGGAATCCAGACCAGACAGAAGGCAAGAGCCAGAAGAAGTCCCAAGACCTTGGAAAGGAAACACCAGGTGCCAAGGGCAGTGCATGGGGCCTAGACGTGTGTAAAGTGAGGTCAAAGCATACATCCCACAAGGTCATTTGATAATTAAATGAGGTATTTCCTTTTTATAGGGAATGTTTTGTGTTCATAGAACAAGTGGCAACTAAATCATTGTCGTTAATTTAGGAATCTCAGACCTTGTTAGAGCATATTATATGCAAATATATTTATCACTTTGTGTGATAAGTTGTATCATCTTTATTTGTGATTATAGAATATTTATTATTTGAAATGTTCCAGTTTGCAGTAATAGTGGGTTGGGTTTTTTTCTTACTAGAAAGATCCTGTAGAAAACAGTGTTATTGGGTTTAGAGGAAATGTAAACTATAGAACAAATTAATAAAAGCTATTTTGGAAGTGAACTTTACATTCGTGCGTGTGCACCAGTGTGTGTGTGTGTGTGTGTGTGTGTGTGAGAGAGAGAGAGAGAGAGAGAGAGAGAGAGAGAGAGATCAAAGGCACAAGAAATAGGACAAAGCAAGGCCTAAATATTAGCAAAAGCCACCATTTCCTGGAGTATTCATAAACGTTAGATAGTCTAAAAGTATGTCCCATGGGACAATCGCAAACCTAGCTCTGGATGGGACCAAACCTGGATTCCTCATATGTCTGTTTATATTCTTGGAAAGCAGAGGTGAGAATCATCATCAAGCAACCAAAACACAGTGTCTCTGATGACTCTGAGTCACCTCCTGTATGGAATTGGGCGACCCACACATGCGGAAACAGATGGCAACACCAGAAAGAGTGTCTGACACTCCGATGTGCGTGTGTAATTAGTGTGAGTCAATACATGACTAAATAAATATGTGTTACTAGATGTAACATATTGATCCTCCTTACTCAGTTTGGGAATATTTTAATTTTCATAAGAAATTTATCCCGACTAGAAGAAACAACTATTATAGTTGGGATGCAAAGATGTTTTAACTTTTGATGTCAATATGTATCCTGGATGATTTTGAAACCATTCCAGACATCATATCATTGTATCTGTAAAAAATTAACTATGTATCCCTAAAAGATAAACATTTTTTAAATTTAACCAAATACCATATTATGCCTAAGAAAAATAACATTGACACTTTAATAGTACCAAATAGTCAGTGTTCAAATTTCCACAATTGGCTCATCAATTTTTTTGAGATGTCACATTTTTTATTAAAAACTTTAAAATATATCTATTTCAATAAATGTTGATGGAATTATTGAATATTAGTATGGCAAAAAAATGAAATTTTTAAATTAGTGTCAGGTGTACAAAACAATGTAATAGTTAGACATTTACCCCCCCGCAAAGTGATAACCCTCCACCCCCAAAACTGAATCTTGACACCCTGCCTCACCCCAAGACAAAACAATTTTAAGATGCTCGATCAGAAGTCTGGCATGGAGTGCCTAGGTGCTGTGCTCAGGATATCACACGACTAAAATCAAGCTGTGAACCAGGCTGAATTTTTGTCTGGAGGCTCTGGGGAAAATCTGCTTGTACGTTCATTCTTCTCGTTGGCAGAATTCAGTTCTTAATGGTTGTAGGACTGAGGTCTCCCTGTTTCCTTGTTGGCTGTCAGCCAGGGGCTGCTGTTAGCTCCTCTCTCTTCTAGTCAGCACCCACACATTGGATCTTTCTCGTGATTTGAATCTTTGGCTTCTCCCACCTCTGATTTAAAGGTCTCATGTGATTAGGTCAGGCCTACTTGGATGATTTCTGTCTTTAAGTCAACTGGGATCTTAATTATATCCCCAAAATCCCTCCTGCTACACAGGGTAACATAATCACAGGAGTGGTGGCTCATCATATTCCCAGGCTATGCCCACACTCAAGGGGAGGAGATTATACAAGAGCAAGTGTCATTTGCAGGTCATCCTAGAGTTCTGCCTTCTGAAATCGTTTAATCTGAATCCAACCCTGAGAATATAATCAGACAAATCCAGATTGTGTGACATTCTACATGACAACTGGCCTGAACTCTTCAAAACCATCAATTGAATGAAATAATTTAAAAAAACAAAAGCTTTAAGTGGCTCTCCTAGATTCAGGGAGGTTGAAGAGATATGACAGTCAACTGCAATGCATGATACTCAATTAGATCCTGGAGTTTTAAAAATCTAATTTGACATTTTGGAGACAATTTGAAATTTGAATATGTCCCAAATATTAGCTCTTGTAACAATGTTAAGTTTCTTGAATGTGGTAATGGTGTTATGGTTATGGAGGAGAATGTTCTTTGTTCTCAGGAAATAAATGCTGAAATGCTGGAAAATGTAGGGGTGAATTTCACTATGTCTGCAACTTGCAAATGATTCAGATATAGATATAGATATGGATATGGATATACATATAGACATATATAGAGAGAAAGTAAGAGAATTTAACAGCTTGTGAATGAAGAAGGTATATGGGTGTTCATTGTATTGTTTTTCAGTGGGTTTGAAATTTTTTAAAAATTAACATTGGGGAAAATAATGTCAAAAATATTCTAATGATATGATTTTTTTTCCTCTTCCTGAAAGATTTATGAAGAATAACTCTTTCTGTAGTGAGGCAGAACAGAAAGAGGGGCAGGTAAGTCGAAAATAGTCAAACAATGCCCGAAGGTCTTATGGGAATCCTTCTCTGCCACATAAAACATGAATCAGAAAGTATTTTCTACTTAGGAAAGCTAAGTAACCTATTCCTCATTGCTACAATTTAAATGTAAAGAAAGACACTCCTCTCCCAATTCTGGAAACTGTGTACATTCACCAAGATTTTGCTTTGGGCAGACCTTACTTAACTTTAGCAATGGCCGCACGAATCAGGTAGTACTGATCTGTGCAAATAAGATACAACCTTGTAAACAGCACAGACAGAAAACATATCTCAGAAGCTGTTGACTCAGTAATCTCAGGTCTGGAAATTTACCCTATTAAAATTATTCAAAAGAAGGAAAAAGTTTTATCTGTAAAGATGTGTATAGTAGCATTATTTACAATAGTGACAAATTGGAAATGGTCTAAATCAGGGGTTGGCAAACTTTTGAGACGGAAGAGCCAATCCTGTCCCTCACAACAATTTAAAAATTGTTCGAGAGCCATAAAACAAATGAAATCACCATTATGTGAATAATATCCTTTAAAAATTTTATAAATAAAACTATGGTAGTTTTTTTTTTTTCAACTTTATTTCAGAGCCACATATACGCACCCAAAGAACTGCATGTGGCTCGGGAACTGCAGTTTGCCAACCCCTCGTCTAAATGCATATCTATATAGAGTATTTAAGTTATATACATATCAGTATTGTGCAGAATTTTTTCATAAATTTGAATATAATATGAAATCAGAAGACGTGCTCATCAAAAATTGTTGAGAAAAATGTAGAATGCAAAATTGTATTCACATTCTACGTCTGACTATGCACAAGCTCTGAGCACGCATGGATAAAGATCAGAAGGGACCAAAAACAGTTATTGTAAATCTTTGGTGGGATTGTAGGCATAATTCTTTTGATAATTAAAAATTTTGCTATTACTATCTCTTCTACTAGACTACAAATCCGTGCGATCAGGAACTATATCTGTCTTGTTCATCTTTTTACTCCCAGGGCCTGCAACAGGGCTTGAAGAATGAAGAAACTAACAAAAATGAACAAAGGAAAGAATGAATGAATAAATGAAATGTTTAAAAATTAAATAACATTGTAAAAAGCAGGAGACTTTCTTATAGGAGATTAGGACATTCTATGAGTTTTAGACCAAGAAAACCACCAGGTTAATATATTGAAAAAGTTTATAGTGGGCCTAACTTAGGTTTTAAAAACAAGATCTTTTATAGTTAACTTGCAAACTCTCCCTCCAATGCCTTCCCTATGTTAAAGCCCATATCTTCCACGACCTCTCTCAGACCTCATTTTCTTCTCTCTTCCAGGCTCGCTTTGCCCCACCACACCAGCAGTCCCTCGCTCTTTCTCAAACACCATCAAGGCTCTGCCTCAGAGCTCTGCCTAGACTTCTGGCCCTGCTCTCTTATTTGCTTCAGGCTTCTGCTCAAATGTCACCCTATCAGCGAGCCCTTCCCTGCTATCCACCCTATTTAAAACAATATGCCTTCTCTCTCCACATGCTGGCACTCTGTCCGCTTTACCCACTTTATTTTTTCCCCATAGCACTTACCTCCATCAGACATAGTGTATGTTTTATTAATTTATTGTCTCCTCCCCCCAGACCCCCACCCCAGCCTACATGAAAACTTTATTGGGGTACGGATTGTGGTTTTTATTGTTCCCAGTGCCTAAAGCAGTGCTTGGCATATAGTAGGGACTCAATAATTTTTGAAAAAATAAAAAAAATATATAAATTCATATAGGTATTTACATGTTATTTCAAATATGTAAATAAATATGCAATAAATATTTTTTTTTAATTCTAAAACAGTGCTTTGGCATGCAGGAGATACTCTACACATTTTTGTTGAATGAGGGTACAAAAAATCATTAAGACGGATTTGATAATGAGCTTACTAGATATGTCATGGGCTGATAATAGGGAATCATTTATGTTGGTGTTGGAGAAACCCTATAAATAACTTTTCCTTCCCAGCCCAAATTGGCGTCTCATCTGGAGATCATGGAGTCAGATGGCAATCACAATAATCGGCTTAGTCACTGGTGAAGGCTGGGTGCGCGGCCACAGAAGGCTTCCTGGTCCTTCACCCCCCAGTTGGACAGACGTTGCCATCCCGGCACTGACAGAATTGGACATATCAAAGAACAGAGCAGAACAAACTCTGCACAGCAACGTCTGAAAAAAGAGGAGAAACACCCTATTCTTTCCCCTGACTCACCAATCAGGTAAGCTTCCTCCTGTGCTGGGAGACGTGCAGCAGGAGACCAGGAGTATCATTCTAGGGGAAGTCCGTCCACATGGAATCTTAAGACCATAAAAAAGCGGTACTTCTCCAATGATAGAGAGAAAAGTGTGTACAGGCTACAGTGGGACATCTGGGGTGTTTCCAACCTGGTTCCAGGAAGCCCAAGCTAAGTTTTGAGGTCATATTTATCTAGGCAAGAAGAGAGAGAAAGGGCATTTTGCTCAGAAGGAAGAACATAGGCGAAATCATGCAGGCGTGAAATAACATTGTGAGCTTGGGGAAGCATTGTAATATTATTGCTATTATTAAATCATAAAGTGTGAGGGAGGAAGGGGTAGGACAGAGAGCTGGCGTTGTGTACAGGGGCCAGATTAGGGAGGCTGGTGTACACCCGATAGGGACCTTAAAACTGCCTAGATTTCCCTGTCAAGTGAGTGGGGGAAATGAGAGGAAGAAGGCAGGCGTTCTACTGATATTTTTAACATGCCCATCTTGTTCCTTATACTTAGCAGATGCTCAATGAATGATCATCGTATTGAAATAATTGATCACTTTCAGATGAGGAGTTCTGGTGAATGCTAAAGACACCCTGCAAATGTGCCATCTCCCATCCTTGTTCTCTCGAGTTTTTCTCTTGAAGCAATCATCTAAAACAATGGGTTCTCAAAGTGTGGTCTTGGACCAGCAGTATCAGCGTTACCTGATTTTTAGACCCCAACCCCAAACCTATCGAATCAGGAACTCTAGGGGTGGATTCCCCGAAATCGGCGTTTCGCCAAAACCTGCAGGTGAATCTGGTCCATGATGGAGTTTGAGAATCACTGGTCTATAAAATGATAATATGGCCACTTAAGTAGCATCACCCAGAAAAGTTCTTATCTGTTATCTGTATATTGTGCATTGGGAGTCAGGCCTTTAGACACCAGCAAGCAAATTGTTCTGAGATTTTTAGTCCTGGTTTTACATGATGGTTCTTAATGAAGACAATTCCAACTTAGTCTGTCCATTGGCTCACACATCCATCCTTGCAAAACTGTCCTTGTTGACCTTTCCGTAAGCCTTCCAGATGTCTTCTGTAAAAAAAAGAAAGAAAGAAAAAGAAAAGAAAGAATAGAAAATATTATTTGATCCATTCATGACTAATACACCAGTTTGAATGGTCAGTTTCCCCATATTGTAACATAGCTCTCCTAACTGACACTGTGGCTGGGACATCATGAAGGAATTCATAGGTGTCCAGAGGCTGCTTCTTAGGAAATCTAATTAATTTGATTCAAACATGCTCCATTTGAGTGAAACCAACTATATTAGTTCCAGAGAAACAGAAACAGTTGTGTGTGTGTGTGTGTGTGTGTGTGTGTGCGCGCGCGCGCGCACATGCATGCACGTGCGTGCTTGTGTACAAAGAGAGAGATTTTAAGAAATTGGCTCATGCACTTGGGACTGGGTCTAAAATCTACAGGGCAGGTCAGTAGGCTGGAGACTCAGGGAAGAACTGATGTTGCAGTCTTGAGTCTAGGCAGTCTGGAGGCCAAATTTCCTCTTCCTCAGGGGACCTCCGTCTTTTCTTGTAATTCCTTCAACTGATTAGATGAGGCCCACCCACATTATGGAGGGTAATCTGCTTTACTCAAAGTCTACCGATTTAAATGTTAATACTCATCTAAAAAATACTTTCACAGCAATATCAACACTCATGTTTGACCAGTTCTGGGTACCATAGCCTAGCCAGTTGACACGTAAAGTTAACCATCACTCCAATAAACAATTAAGAGACCTAAGTTTCCCATACTCTTTTTTCTGCCCTGAAAAATATTTAAGTGTTTATTTGAGATGTCATGCGGCCAAGAACATATTCTGGCTCAGAGAATATACCAGCCTGATAAGCTTCCAATGGACCCAACCTTCTTCTTTTCCCAAAGGGCTCACACCAGAGTCTGGTTACTTTTAATGAGGATTAATGTGTGGATTTACCAATACCCCCATACTCCTTGTCTTGCTAAGCATTAGCAAGCGTAGGGTGGCCAAAGTGGTTCTCAACTGGGGTGAATTTGCCCCTATCCTCATCCCCAGGGACATTCTGGAGACAATTTTGGTTGTTGCAACTCGGGGGCTGCTAGGATTTAAATCTAGTGGGTGGAGGCCAGGGATGCTGCTAAATATCCTACAATTCAGGACAGCCGCTCCCCACCCCCCTTCATTAAAGAATCCTCTGACCTTAAATATTAATAGTGCCAAGATCGAGAAACCCTGACATACACTTAGAGGGCATAACAGAAACGCAATAAATAACAAAGTAAATTTACTGTCCTCCTGGAGGACACCATTTTCATCTCTCTCTTTCAAAAGAGCTGGAGCTCCAACCTCCTTAATTATTTTATTTGCACGTATGTTTCTCTGTCCAAACACATGATATCCACATATGCCCATTGTAGGGTTCTTTTGAATCTAAGCAGATTTTGATGTTTGCTGAGTCCCCAACTAAACAAGAATAAAATTGCTCAATACCTACTGTTTGAAGCAAGAGGCTAATGAAGAGACAGCTAGAAGGGAGTGGCAAGGAACACAAAAATGAATCCCATTTCTCTAAGCAGAAAACAAGCACATGCTTGTGATCAGAACCTGAGACTTCACCTTTTGCTTCATCATGGTTTAAACCACAATGCTATTTGAATCCTACTGTCTCCTTACTCAACACCAGACGTGCACGGCTGAGAAAAAACAACCCTGGCCAATCAGTCTTGCTTTAAATTTATGGTGATTAATCTCAGGAGGGTGGTCACACGGTCTTTCCCTAGGCCCCTGTGAGCTCTCCCCCTCTCCTACGTGACCTCTTCATTCTTGATTCCATTTCCTCAAGCCTCATGCTTGTATAGAGGCTGGGTTCCTACTTCAGTGCAAAAAGTCAAGTAATCAGAAGAGAACTTTCACAAACTCTTACCGCCACACCTACCCATCTATCCACATTTATGCCCAAATACTATAACTTCTCTCTGACATCAGTGACACACTGTTCAAGACCCATGGGATGCACTGGGTTCCACCCTGTCTTTTACTTAAGAACCTCTCTCCAGTGCTTTCCCCTTTTCTCCCTGCATCTTCAGTTTTTCTCTCTCTCTTGGATTACAAGGGAGGAAGGTGAAAAGGAATCAGCTAAGGAGAGTGAGAAAGACTAACTAGGAAGGTACTGGTTAAACCAGGAGAGTGTGGCATCTTGGAAGACAAGTGAAAAACTATATTTCTGAGAGGACAGTGCCAATGCTTTCTCCCCTCAGCGTTGGTCAGGGCTGTCCGGTGGAACTTTCTGCGATGAAGGAAATGTTCTATATCTGGACTCTCCTCCATGGTAGACATGTGTGGATATTAGCCACTTACAATGCGGCTGGTTTGATTGAGGAACTGAATTTTAGATTTCACTTAACATACGATTGAATTTTATTTTATTTTTGTTATTATGTTTTTTCCCCCAACAGTTGAATTTTAATAGCCACTTGTGGGTAGATACTAATGTAGTGAACTGTAGATGCTGGAACGTCTCAGAGCTCAGTTCTTCGGCCTCTTCTTTTTTCCATCTACACTCATGCTCTTGGTAATCTTTTTTTTTTTTTTTTTTAAGCTGAGCCATCCTGCTACCTGTTGGCAGCTCAGCGGCTGCTCAGCTCGGGCTGGACTCGAACCGCTGTTGCTCAGAGCTCAAACTCTTGAGCGAGCTCTTAACCAACTGAGCCACTCAGCCGGCCCTTGCTCTTGGTAATCTTATCCAGTCACCTGGCTTTACATACCATCCACATACCAATTACCCCAAATGTATAATTCCAGCCAGATTCCCACCCCTGAGCTCTATTAACCTAAACAAACAAACAAACAAAAAGCCAAAATCAGAGGTAACGTGTTTATTTGACATTGGAGAATTGCAATTCGGGAACACAGATTCAGGCAGAAATCCAAATTGTGTCCCCATTATGAGGTGAAGGCAAGGGGTTTTATGAAAAAGAAAAGGGATAATTCCATGAATAGAAAAAAGGAATTTCTATTGGTGCTAGCAAGTTGAGTTCCTCTTTAGCTGTACATGGCTATTTACCGATTCTAAAGACTATCCATAATTATAAGTTCTTGTGGTCCGTTCCTATTTGCTTTACAAACAGTTGTTTGGAACACATTGCTGCTTTGACCCAGTCCAAAAGTTATTTTACCCAAGTCAAACATCCCAAGGGTTCAAGGAGTAGGATGTGCAAGGCAGTTTCTCTGGAATAGCTGCTCTGGCTCTATTTTAAAATGGCTCCACTTATGTCATTTTTGGCAGCTCCAAAAGAGAATATCAAATTACCTGCTTGACAATTCTCACTTGGGTGTCATATAGACATCGTGAACTTCACATGACCAAAACTGAGCTCCTAATATCCACCACTGCCCCAAACCAACAAAAACCTTGAGTCCTTTTTGGTTTTTATCATCTTAATGATAACTTGCTCAGGCCAAGCATCTCGGAGTCACCTTTGACCGCTCTGTTCCTCTCAGGGCTCCTGTTCCCCATTGAACTCACCAGAAAATTGCATTTACTCTACCTTCAAAAGATATCTGGATTTTGACCACTTCTTAGCACTGTGACTGTCAACATCCTAGTCCAAACTACCATCACCTCTCACCTAGACTATTGCACAGCTCTCGAAACATTTCCCTGAGTCTGCACTTGGTCTCTGTTGAGTCAGTTCCCAATAAAGAAGTCAGAATGGGTATTTAAAAATAGGCATTGAAAAAAAAATAGAGTGACCCTTCCGCTCAAAAGTGACTCACATCTAACTCAGAGTCCTTACTATGACCTAAAAGCTGCTACGTGATGTGCCCTCCTATCATCTCTAACCACATGGCCTCCTACAGTCCCCTCATCAATCTACTTAAACTACATGGTCTCCTCACCATTCTTGTAATGCACCGGGCATGTTCCTACCTTAGGTCCCGTGTTACCTGCCTCTGTTCTCCTAGATGTCTGCACAGCCAGCTCCCTGTTTTCCTTCAGGCCTTCCCTCAAAGCTACCTTCTGAGTGAAGCCTTCCCTGGCTATTCATCTAAACTTTCGCATACAACCTATCATTATTTACATAACATATTAATTATCTGGATTACTGAGTTTTTTGGATGGCTCCGTAAATTTTGCACTTGATGCTAAGTAAGGCCTTCTAGTCCTGGCCCTAGCACTTTGAAAAGTGCCTGTGACGTGACGTGTCATCTTCTGATAGAATAAGAAATATATATTTGGTCTTCATCCTGGGTTCCTGGCACAGAGCTCCTAAAATACTTGTGATTTCCTTGTGATAGGGGTGAGAAGAGAGTTTTTTGTTATTCATGATAAGCACCCTTTAACCATACCTGAGTTTATGCTAATGAGGTGAATCTTGGTGGGGCCCTTGAGAGCTTCAGGGTAGGGCCTGGTGAAAATTTTCAGTCCCATAACCAATGGCCAATGACTTCATCACTCATACTTCCAGGTTGGTGAATACATTCACATTCCAGGAGGGTGTGCTCCCCACCTCCATGAGGATAGAAGCTCCTATGCTCAGGATGGACACTTCCAAGCTTCATTCTGTGTACTTCTTCATCTGGCTGTTGGTTTGTATTCTTTATAATATCTTTTAAAATAAACTGTCATAGTAAGTAAAGTGTTTCCCTGAGTTCTGTGAGCCATTGTAGCAAATTATTGAGCCCAAAGAGGGGTCAGGGAACGCTTAATTTTTAGCTGGTGGGTCAAAAGTATGGGAGGCCCAAGACTTGTGATTGGTGTCTGAAATGGGGGGCAATTTTGTGGGACTGAGCCCTTAACCTATGGGGTCTGCACTAACTCAGGTAGTTAGTGTCAGAATTTAATTGAATTGTAGGATACTCTTTGGTGTTCAGAGAGTTGGAGAATTGATTGGTGTGGGATAAAACACCCACACATTTGATGTCAGAAGTACTGTGTGTAAAAACAAATCCGAGACACAACAGAAATGTTAGGTGTTTTCTATGTCTTAATCTCATTACATGCAAGAATGCAACTTTTGCTAATTATTTCATAACTTTGAACCTGACATACCATCTTCTGGGGAAAAAAACTATTAGCAAAAATGGGTAACATTTCTGTAGAAAAGAATCATTGTGTTATGGTGACAATGATAAGGCTTCGAAGCCAGAGATATAGGGGTTCAACTCCTTGCTCTGTCAATTATGCATTTGGGTTTGGTGAAGTTACTTAAACCCTTAAGCCTTCATTTCTAATATGAGATTTAAAATTGTAACTTAGAATTGTAAATATTTGTAAACATTCTGGTATATAATTGGTGCTAATAGGTAGCTATTGTTACTATGAGTCCACTGGAAATGCAGAATGAATATTGTGACTAACCGCCCATTCTACCAGGAGGCTGGCAGCATGTGTGAGTTAGTTTCCTAACAGGACAGTTTCAAACTTTGGTCTTTGTAACACACGGCTCAAAGGTTGGTGAGAGAGCTCGCTTTCATAACAGCTTCTGAAAATAAAGTCTCTACCTTCTGGCAGAAATAGCAGTATCTAAAATGGACTTGCATGGTTCCTAACACATTATAGGCACTTCATTTCACACAAGGTTCATTTGGGGGAGTATATTTTAAAAGTATCACACTCGTTAAAAATTATGGATAGCAGTACAAAAATACCAATACAGTAGTCATGGTGGATGGTGTGCTAGTCTCCCAGTTGCATTGTTTGCTGAAGATGGAAAGAGTCTGCGAGACATTTCTCCTGGTAACTGATCATTCTGTCAAGGCTCAGGATTTTCAGTGTTGAAGAAGAGAAAGCTGTTTGACTTTTGTTGGTTGGCAGGTGGGTATGGATTAGTGAATTTTTGTGCATATTGGAAGATTAAGGTATTATGCATTACTTCATAGGATTATGTCTTTATAATCTTTTGTTTTTAAATTTAGAAATAGTTTGATTAGGAAAGATTACTTATGATTCCTTAGGTCATTATTTGCGGATGTATTGCCTACCCAAATTATACCATTTATATGATGATGCATATTAATTTAATGAGTGAAAATTATTACTACTTAAGTATGTGCATGCTTTGTTAGAGTTTTATAAAATAGGGCCTTGTCATCAGGCCCTTTTATCTTTTTACCCAAAAGATTAATTTGTCTATACCAAAGTGAATCATTGTCAGGAAACATAGATTCCATTCTCTACTAAACCAATTTTTAATTTTTTAAAAGGTTTTTGCAAATTTCTCTTGCTTTCCACAAACTTCTTGTTTGTTTGTTTGTTTGTTTGTTTGTTTGTTTGTTTGTTTTTTAAACAATGCCTCTGATGGTATGCTGGTAAGTATTTAACAATCGGCTATCGAGGGAAAAAAATTCTGAGTTGTAGTGTTTGCCAATTTCCATGGTATAAATACTCCCACTATAGCTGATTTCAAGTTACCAATGTGACTTCAATGCACTCACAAAATTCCTGAAAATTTAACAATTAACTCTCGTAAGCCACCATGAGTGGCTTCATTGCACCACTGGATACCTTGTTTATAAAAAATAAAAACATTAACAATAATAAAGCACAGCTCTCTGAGGATGTATAAAAAAGGACTTTTAATTAACAAACAGATTTTTAGTTTAATAGTAGAAACAAGAAGAAAATGATACATAAAAGGGAAGGGAATGGAAGGAAAAAGATAGAAATAGTTACCTTCATTGACCAAAAAAGATTTAGTTTCTGTTGCTTTTCCTAAGATTCCCCAGACTGACTCCTTTCCACTGAGTCATTCCAGCCTGGTGAACAGAGATTGGTAGAAAGACTGGATATCAGATGGGCCTGTGTTCTACTATTTTGTAACTTTCAGTGTGCTGAAACCACACGTGTTCTAAAATGTGGTAGCACACGAGGGAATTTCTGACTTGTATTAGCTGCTTTTCTGCTTCCTGTTCATATTTAGAGGCATGACATTATTTATTAGTGATCAGCAAACAATTCTGGCAATCAAAAAAATAACTTACGAATGACTCCGCATTACTTCTTCCCTTCACACTTACCTGTAACTGCTATACCATTTCCTAAGGGTGGGTTATGCTCTCCTCTACTTTTCTGCCTAAGGGGGCCCAGCATGTTGCAGTCTGACCTGTACATTGCAAGTCTAGTTCTTGTCTCTCTTCCGTCTTGAAATAGACCTTTAGAACTACTGAGATGTTCCTTTATTTGTCTTTCTGATTTACTTTGATAAACAAAGGACACTATTTGAAGTGGTAAGGACAGATTTTAATCAGTAATATATTACTGCAACAGGGAAAAGAGCCCAGTGTTAACTAAACAGAGGTGACTGGACATTTTAAAGGAAGAAATGAAGGAATAGGGAGAGAGAGGTGGGCAGGGGCTGAGTAGAGTCAGGGAAGTGAAAAGTTAACGAAAAGTGGGAATGGGGGGCTTTGGTCCATGGGAAACCCATCTGGGTTTGTTAATTGCTGCTTACCTAAGTTAGGCTCCTACCTTCTTGCAGAGGCTGGGAGACAGGGACCCTATCTTTAGGTGTTGGCTGGAACAAATAGTACATCATTTGGGCAGCCTTAAGTTTTCTCAGGCAAGCTCTTTAAAGGAGTCAGTCTAGAGTCATCCTAGGGATGTGGCCTTGAGCAGTTTTAAGCTATGTTAGTGTTCATTCCAAGTCTTTATAGGCCAAGGTTGAGGCCTGGTTAAGAAGAGGGCTCCAAGGAGCCTGGGTAGAGTTTGGTCAAGGAGAAAATCTTTGTTGGCCAGCAAACATTGACAAGTGATGTTCTGGGCATTATTCTCTCTTCTCCTGCCCCCCAGTACTACCCTTCACCCCCGAGCCTCAGAAGGGCTTCATGAAGATGGTCGCTGGCAGCCTTGTCCACAAGTCAACCTTGCCTTCTCTTGTAGGAAGAGGGGTTTTTCCTTCTCCTTGGTGCAACCCTTAGAGCTGCAATGAACCTCTCTCTCTTCTGGTCCCCAGAGAGAATGAATACCTTGGAAATCATTCAGGTGGAGGATTACTTCAAGAAGAGCCTGACCTTCTGGGACAGCTCAGTGCAAAAGCAAATCCTTCCAAGACTCCTGCCACCATAGATTGGGTTTGTCTGTCTTTGAATTTTAAATAAGTAGACTCATACAGATGTATTCTTTCCTGACTCAAATTAGTATTTGTGAGATTCACTCATATTGTTATAGGTTATAGTGGACCAAAAAGCATGCTCTGCTGGCAACAGGAAGCTGGTCTCAGTGGCAGGACTGCAAATAAGGAAGGGGCGTTCCTTGGCCCCTTCTGCAAAGCCAGTACCTGCTCCTTTTGTAAAAAAAAAAAAAAAAAAAAAAAAAAAAAAAAAAAAAA